AAACGAAAAGTGAAATAAATTCCGCACGAGGTCCCCCGAAAAGGGCTCCGAGGGGTGTAAATAAAAAGAAACTTTCATGCGGTGTTGTTTCTAAAACGAGGCGTTCGTGACGCACGGAAAATCGCAAAATTGGCGGGTTCGTTGCACTCTGGCCGAGACTGGTGGTAGAAAATTTCAAACGTGACTGTTTCTCGGATGGTTGTATTAAAACCCACGGTGCGGATGTGCATTGGGCTTCTATAGATGTTGAAGATGTATGGATATATTGCAGGGAGGCATCAGCTACAGCCGGGTATTAACCGCAGTTGCCTGGCCTCGCCCTGACCACTACATCGTCGCTTTGGAGAACATCCATGGCTTCAGACTGAATTAGACAAATATACACCGAGAAAAATTTACCAAAAATTACGTAAGACATCTGTAATCCCTGGTATCACATCGTATTGTCATTCTGTAGTCGTCAATGGGAATTGTGTGAATTTTCTGCGCTTTTTGACATGTCAATTTGTTTTGTTTGGATTGAATGCAATTTTAATTAAGGACGACCACTCAATTTCGGGTTTGTCAGGATAATTTAATGATGATTTATTTTTCAATCGAAGCTTGAATGAATTTTGGAGGCTTTCACAGGTTTTCAGTGTAATATGGATTTGATAATTGAGAATTGCTGGAATATTTATAAAATTAACTGATTCGTCAATGAATACAGAAATCGCATGTAACATGTGAAAATCCCACGATTTTTGAATTTCGAATGCCAAGTGTAATTTTTTTTTTATTTCTTTAAATTTCCCCGAAAAATCCATCATCCGTCACTCGAATCTCCTCAATTAATCCACGAATTCTGTATTAATGAAAGATTTTCTCCGAATTAAATCGTTTGCTGCAGTCATTAATGCGGGGGTTATCGTGCATGAAAAATGTCGATAAAAATATATTGCGATAAATATTGTGATATTGGAGCACGAGGCCGTGGACAATCGCTTCACAATCAATCGTCACTAATTATAATCCTGACCTTCGTTTACCAAGATCAGAGCCCATAGAATTCATCATTTGCAATTAACTCTTATTATTCATTATCAACATTAGGGTGTGATGGTGGATATGTGCAGTTGGGATGTGTAATTGTCCAATGAAGAGCCACTAGTATATAGGATGGACCAATCAAGCAATGAAGTACAAGTACGCGTGGTGGGTAAGACGAGCTTAATGACCTCATGTAGGTGTTCACTCTAAAAAATGTTTACAATGCAATTTTAAAAAAATTACGCACTTCGTTTTGAAAATTCCCGTTTTCATAAATTTGATTTATCCAATTTGTTTATCCTCACATTATAAAATTTTGTACGACACACAATGAGACAACAACAATTGCATTTTTTCCTACTTTTCAATGAAATTGCACTATTTTATTTATTTATTTTATTTGTACTGCGATTAACTTTTGAATTTAATTTATGAGTTTTTTCAGAGAACATTTCTTGAGGATTTTCAAGTTTCAAATAATTAACCAGGCTTTTCTGATAATTAACTGTCCCACCACTTATGGCAGTAGCCAATATAATCCAACAATTAACAAAATGACGTATTTCTGGTAATCTCTCTTTGTGTTGGCATTCGAAATAATAACAACGCGCCTTTGTGTCTACAAATTGGAATGCACTTTCAATCTCTCTACCTCTCAGCCTTGTAATTCTGAGGCACCAAGTCATCTCTCCCTCACGAGGATTGAATAAATAATTATTGTCATCGACTCAATCCTCGGACGAGAAAAATGTACGTAGCATGAAGAAACAATGGGCCTATTGAATACGAATGATGTCACTAATTGATCATAATTATAACAGAATGACGCCATAACTTATCGAATTATTTCTGGAGACCGAATATTTGGCACTGATTTTTTCCTGATTTTATCTGATTATTTTTTATAAAAATGAAAAAGAAGCAATCGAATAAATTAAGTGAATTGAATTAATTCAAATACCAATAAATTTTCAACAAATAAATAAAAAAATTATTCAGCAATTTCTTAATTCTCTTCTCTAATCCAAAATACCCAAAAACTGAAGAAATAATTAATTGTTTCTAACTCGAAAAAAAAACCAATTGAATGAAAAAAAAATTGTCCACGATTGGAATGAGAATTACTGTTAATAAACATTTATCTTGAAAATTAGGCGGTTTAAGGGATAATGTGAGAATGAAAGATGACATTTGACATATTCACTTAGTCATGAATTAGGAAGATTAATAAATATTCAACGGGAGGTGAAGAATTCTCTCGTCTTCCACAATTTCACGACATAATTTAAAAATTATCTCGAAAACATGTGAGATCATTAGTAGTTTACTGTTCTATTTCCATTACATTTACGTTTTATTTCTTCAGAACGTGCAGTCACTATTGGCCTAATCTAATCTATCCACGAAATGTTTAAATAATTGATTAACCACGTGATATGCTAATAGGTCATTTGTGAGTTCTAAATTACAGAATATCCTATATTTCCTATTTAAATGTTTTAATTTTAATTAATTCCAGGACACACCATAGAACACTACGATAAATCCTGATTAATCACTTTTTCCGTTGTTATCACTATTTTTTAAATTTAGCGTGCGAAAAAAATGATGGATTAAAATATTCAGGAAGAAAATGCCATGAATTTTCAATTTTTTGCTAAAGCTCCTCGTTTTTTTATCATTTACCCGCAATGACTGATTATAAAATAGAATACTTAATTAAAAAATGATGTGAGCAGAATATCAACGTACTATTTCCTTTTTGCATTACGATATTTCCTGAGATTTAAATGGAAGTCGAGTGAGATAAAAATTTCCGGGATTCAACCCTGAAAATTAAAAGTATGAAATAACTTTGAGACGATGAAAATAATCATGGAGTCATGATGATTATTTTCTAATTGTTTTAAATCGAAGATTGTCGGACTCGTGAGTGGAATCAACATGACTGGGCACTTTGGAGATGTAGTAGGTGGAATGAGTCATCCTTTCCAGCACCAGTCAAGTTTTCCATAACTTATTCCCCCATTGAAAAAGTAAATAAATAAATACTGGCCATTCCCTCGCACCGCCGGTTCGGCACGCGATTTTACAAGTGGACGAATCGATACGCGAGGTTTAAATGAAAAATAAAGATTTTTTAAAATGACAAGAAGTGAATTCTCACTCGACAAGTTAAAACGAATGATCGACCCATTTTCCGTAAGACAGTCGTTAAACACTCCAAGAGCTGAGAGAACCGGACCGTAGAAGGTCTTGAATTTTTTTTTTCTTTCAGTTAACAGTGCAACCTGACAGGTTGATAAGACACAGGCGCCAGCTATTTTAAGGGAAAGGGAGATTCAGGATTTTTCCACGAGTGAAAGTTTTTTTTTTATCATATTTTTCAGTTTGTGGAAGTCCGTGGGAGGAGATTCTTGGTGGATTATCGGAGAATGGGAGAGGTTTATGGAGATTTATCGGGAGAATCTTCCTTGGGGGATTCTGAGGGATACAAAAGAAGTTTGTGTGTGAATCCTTGGAAACCTCTTCATTTATGAAATGCTTACGAAATTAGTGGGGGGTGAATGGAAATTTTAACTCGGTTATTCTTTAATTTATTCAGGTTTTTTTCTGAATAACTTTGGGTACTTTAGTTTGAGTAGTCGCCTCGGATCGATTTCTGGCTTTTTGAGGTTTTCGCTTCGTCATAGAGCAAATTGATGACTAGGTTAATCGATAATCCACCCAAGAAGGATATAAAACCCTCAAATAATTCCTGATTATTATCGAAATATTCACGGAATAAAGGATTGACGGGAGTTCAACTTAAATATTTGATATTCATTGCTCCACGTACGTCAGAAAACCTCAGGAGCTTCCAACTAACGAATCCCAATAATTTCCCTCCAATTCTTTGCATAGACGGGTTCAATGCGATTTAATCCGGCCTCGATATGCATTCCCATAGAAATAATTATTTTCTTTCTTGGATTTTCCACTTTTCCGCTGGTTGAGCGCAAACCACCAGTTGGAAGAGCAGCAATTTTAATAGCAGTATTTTCCATGACTTTTCTATTACGTGGATATCAAAGCACAAAGTTCATATGTTGTAGGAATTATTCAAGGGAATTGTAGAACCACGAGAATCTATTGTCGAGTCACTCATCTGAGAATCTAGTCGGCTCATCGTGGAACTAAAAAATTAATTACGCAATTACTGATTAGTCCTAGACACCGAACGTTTCGGTTTGTTAAAAAAAAAATGTAGTTTAATTAAAAATTGAGGAACATATTTCAAAAATTCAGATGATTTCGTAATTGCATAATCAATTACGATAGTAATCACAAAAATAATTGTAATAATTTTGAATAAATTCATGGGGAGATTCACATTTTTTAAAGAAAATATAAATATTATGGAGAGAGTCTCTAGAATTAATTAATAATTACAAGTCTTTTCCCCTTTGAACAATAAAGTTGTTGCAAAATATCTGGACAATTAAAATCTAGGAAATTATATCGTGAAAACTCGAGTAAAAATCGTTGCTCAAGGTAAAAAATTAATGGTAATCTAGAATTCTCAGAACAATCAATGTTTAGACAGGACAAAAAATTCCAACTACAAACCCAGAAGAGAGTGATCTCACAAAAAAATTCCGAGGCATTTACATGTCCCCAGTGAAGAATGATCTCCCCAAAAAAACCCAACACCTTCCCCAGACCATCAAAACCTCAAATATAAATAATATAATTAATGCTGATTTCCCAGAAAACCCAGAACATAAAAAATACCTCAATTTTTTCAAATGCAATCTTGAATACTGATTGGACGAGAAGAAAAATGATCATCACGACGAAAAAAATTCAGATCTTTCATCATAAAAAAGAAATGTGCGGGTGTAGATGGCACGTCCACCCCCTCCAAATGTGATTATCCACCCGCATAATTATTCTCCACCTCAATGTAAAATAAATAATTGAAGACTCACCAGGAACTACAATGCTGGATTCAACGAGAAGGCACAATGTGAAACCAACGATACATCCACGGACTAAGAAACACCACTGTTCACACGCCATATTTATCGTTGAAAAAAGAAAAAAAAACAGCTCAACTGGTCTAAAATCGAGTGAAGAAATAGAATTGATCGTTTCCCCAACGGGGCTCCTAGCTCCGATTTTTCAACAAGTGTTCTTTTGTTTTAATTTCCTTAAGGAGCCGACGTCCTTCGAACTAGTCGTCCCTCGAGGTCGCTCCTCCCTCGCACTCTTTTTTATTTTTTTTTTCAAACAGCACTTTTAGACGATGCGTTTTTGGTCGTCCTGGGGGGGGGTCCAGCAGTTGATCTGGTAACACTGGGGGAAACGATGGGTTTAACTGGAACTTGACTGGGGGAAAATTTTAAACCGGTACTTGAGAGCCTCCGGGCTGTTGGTCGTACGGCATGATGGTACGAACTGGGGACACAACTCAATATTAAACTCTCCTGTGAGGCAACAACTACGTTGTCATCTTGAATCTTTCAGGTATCTGACAGGTACCTGGCGACATCTTGTGGTGGTGTCGCTGCATCCTCGCGTCACTACCGGCTGTTAATAATAAATGTAATTCAATTCAATTCAATATATATATTCCTCATTCAGTCAATTTAATTCAATTCACAAAATATTTTATTTATTAGTAATCCCAGTCATCAGAAAATTCACAGGAAACAGCTGGCGTTAAGCTCCTCGGAGAAGCTCTCTCGACATTGTCAGGGTCAGGGAAGGATGGGGCTGTCTTGATCCTGTGCACTTGGTTAAAAATTGTCTGAAAACATGAATAAATATTCGGACATTCCAATTACGAGATAGTAATTAACAATTAATTTTTCTTTACCAAAAGCATGAATAACAATAAATCGAACCATTCCCAGGAGTTTTCTCCACCCAAAAACTTACAGTGACATTCCAATTTTCGGGATAGGTCCTATGACAGTCACTAGGGATGACGCCGTGAGGAAACCTCAACCCCTGATTAACCTGAGCTTCTTGTCTCTCTTTTCTTTCAACCCTGTAATCCCTATCTGCAGTTCTTTCGATGAAGTCGACAGTTTGAGCTGCCTCCAGAGCAGCCATGAGCCTAGCATCCCTGAACCTGTTGATCTCCTGGACTTCCCTCGCCCTTTCTTTTTTTTCCTGCCCCCAGATGATCCTCTCCTGACAATCCCTGACGTAGAGCCCACACTCTCGATGCCTCTGACACATCACCAGGAGCATTTCCCCATCAGCTCCCAAAGGGTTAACCCCCTTCTGCTTCAAATACCTGAGGACCTCTCCCCACACCTGACCCCGACTGAACCTGAAGAACTGATCGACAATGCAGAGGGTTATCTCATCCTCCGGTGACAGATCCTCCGCAAGGATTTTGTAATGATCCCTCACGATTTCATAGACTTCAGCATTCGCCAGCAGCTGCTTCCTGATACTGTAGATTTTCGGTCTCACCGATCCCACCCACGACTCCAACGTCGGAGAGTAATTCTCGATGGTTTTCGTGTAGAAGGTATTCCTCCACTGGATCCTCCCCATCAGGGGCAGCTCGATGTCCTCGATGCATCCCCTAGGTGTCCTCTTCACACCTATCCTCCGTTCCTCATCCCTCCAGAGTCTGGATAACAAAGATAGCAGTCCTTTGGACTTGTTTAGGCCTCTCCAGGTGCACAGGTGGGGAATGCAGTGGGAATTTACACACATGTCTGATAGAATTCCCATAAAAATGTTCTGAGGATGTCGATGGGACTTGTCCAGGGTATCGAGAATCAGATAAGTTCCTCCACGCTCTATGAATTTTTGGAGAGCTTCTGAAGAAGCTGTTACGCAGGTCCAGGTGAAGGACCCCAGGGAAATGAGTAGTTTGTCATTGATGACGAAGTCCTCGGGGTTTTGGCAGCGCTGCAGAAGCTTCTCGATAATTTTTAGGGAATCCTCGCAGGACGAGAGCGAGGAATTGGCACGTTGGAGGTGATCCAGGGTCATGATCAGGAGAGTTAAGAGGGTTTGGGAATGGAGAGTTAATTCTTCGAGAGTTATTATTCTGTTTGTCAAGTCTGGAAGACGAACGGAAATTTATTTACATCTGTGTCGATAGGTGGAATTTATTAATGTTTATTTATTTATTAATTTTTATTTATCTCTAGAGTCACTCACTGACGAGTGCAGTGAGAATTCCAGCAGCTTTGAATTGCATCATACAATCTGGAATCTGAAGAGATATTATTGAATAAATTGTTCTCAAGGTTTCCAAAGCAATCGAGGAGTTCAGGCCCATCGTGACGCTCCATTCCAACATGATTAGCAGCTTCTGTGGGCCCTGGGACTCTAGGAAATCATGCAGGAGCTGAGGTACGAGTGTCGAGAGGGTTCTCATGACGGAGGGAAGCAATTGAGATGAATAGGAAGACCTTTTTGGGACTCTCGATCCCTCGTCGATGCCCAGGAGTCCCAGAATTCCAGGAATCACTGCGTTTTGCGTCATAATCTGTTGATAAATGAATTCAAATCGATTCGAATAATTTTGTGGGGTTTAAATTACAGAAATGCAGAAGGGTGAGGTGGTGAAGTGGCAGAGAAGAGCTAGCAGTGTTTTTGTGAAGAATAGATCTTCTTGGGTCCGAGGAATTCGAAGGGATTTTGATAAGATTATTATATCTGTCGCTAATCCACACTTGATTAGGTTCCAAGGGGCTTTGGCTACGAACCCACCGAGAAGAATCATTGCCAGATCATTTCGAATCGTTTTCACATGAGAGTCTGATGAGGAATCGTCAACGATCTCCATGAAGATATTTTTTAAACACCTGAATTGAGATGTAAAAAATAAATGTGTCTAATCATTTTTTCAAGTGATTTCAAGGATTTTATCTTCTATTGCAGACACTGACGTCATAACTTCATGATTTTGAGGAGAGGAATTTTTCCAGGTTGAGGGCAGATCTCCAGAGGATTGGGCTGACTTGATCAGCATCCAGAGGACTTGTATCGTGAGGACCAGCTCGTCCCTCGTATTTTTCTCATGAAATTTCTGGTATGAAATTGTTAATTGGAGTATGAGGGAGTTCACGATATCTTCGTTTAGCATTTTGTGACCTCAAAAATCGTGAATCATGCAAATAATTAATTAATTAATTATCAGATTTATTAATTTTGAGTAGAAAATCTTACAGCAGACTTCTGAAGCCTTCACTAAGTCAGAGATAACTTCCAGAAGATTACTCCGGATGTCTGGAGGACATGGATTAATTAGTCTTGATAAAATCTCTGGGAGACTGGAGTTCTCCACGGATTCGTACAAGTACTGCAATTTTATTGCCGAAACGTCGACGCGATTTGGTCGTGTGAATAATTCATGGAGGGATCGAAGGATTTTTACAATTTGTTCCTTTCCTGGCATGAGAATAATTAAACATCCTAAATGTGTGAAGTAGTGCTCCAGAGTTTCGAAACTCGTGAGGTTCTCTGAAAATTTATCGACTCCTGGGGGACGACCTATCATTTCTAATAATTTCATTAGATGTTTTTCATATTCTGGGGTCTCTCTTGCACTCCATCCTAAGAATTCTAGGACTACAACGATGTCGGGCAAATCTTTGACTTTCTATTCGTTATATTAAGGACAGACTTCACAAATAAATAAATTCCTTCCGATTTTTTTTGTAATTAACAAAAATTAATGAATTTATTATCTCAAATAAAATTATTTGATAAATTGAATTATTCATTCCGAAAATTGTTAATTATTTCACGTGATTTGAGAAAATTATGTTAATAATTTTCAAAAGAGTAGATTTGCAAAGAAATAAACAATCTCATTGCTTTAAGGATACAAATCCCTCACTCCCTGTTTCCTTTAAAAACTGACAAAGAAGTTTATCAATCCATAATAAATTATCAGCTGTAATCGGATCGCGTATTAACTTCCTTAATTTCTTCAATTTTGTTTTCGAAGTGTCTCCTCTAAATTGCATGGCGAAATTATCCAGAGGCTCCAGTCTCTTCTCCATGTTATCACAATTATTTCTGAAAATCTCTTCCAGAGAGGAGTGACTCCAGTGGCATCGTAGTACTGCACCCCAAGAGAGGGAGGGCGCCACACACAATGCTGGGATGTTTTTTTTTATTAACCAAGTGTTTATTGCAATGCTGGGGTGTCCATCAAGTCGACGGGGTGAATTTTATTTTCTGCTGGACGAATGCTTTTTTTTTTTCATTTGTTTAACTGAAATTTAGCCGACTGTAGCATGTACGGAAGGGGGAAACCACATCTTGTGGAATTTCAATGGAAAAAATTATTCAATGTATTGAATATATACCACTAATGAATTTATGTTTTTAATTGGGCGCGTTGTCCTAGCGGTAACGTGCTCGGCTGGCACGCCGGCGGCCCGGGTTCAATCCCGGCATTATTCATTTTTTTTTTTAAATAATTCCAATTTTTTTTTTAAATAATTCCAATTTTTTTTTTTTGTTAATGGCAAATCAATCGAAATATCGTTTAAAAACTGAATATTTGATAATCGAGAAGATATCCAGTGAAATTAAAAATTTAGCAATTTTTTAAAACGATACTTTTGCAAAATATATACTCCTAATAAAATTAAATTATTGTAATAATGCGTTATCCTAGCGGTAACGTGCTCGGCTAGCACGCTGACGGCCCGGGTTCGATCCCGCCGTCATTCATTTTTTTTTTTAAATAATTCCAATTTTTTCGTTAGGTAGGTATTCACTGCAATTGAAAAATTCGAAATTTTTGAAAAAGTATCAGGGTAACATGAACATCGAGGAGCTATTCACTGAAATTTTCACTGAA